GCCTGATTAGACTTATACACAGGAAGAAATTGGTTCTTTCAGATCCTGAACAGCAACCGAAACTAATAATCTTTTCAGCAAGTTCGGCTGACGTTAAGGAAATACCACGTGAAATAAACACGTCAGCCATACGAGGCATTTCTCTGCTTTGTGATTGCATCCGAAAAGGTTTGTTCCTGTTACTTGACATCCAAAATTGATTGCTTGCCAGAGCTAAGTATTTGCCTTCTTAAAAGGTTATTTTTTTTCATTACTAGATCCGACAGGAAATACTTGGCACTCTTGCACTTACCGTTTTGGATGTAGAGTGAGTTAAATTGGCCAGTATCTATGCTGTTTCCTTCCAGCCTGGAAGACGCTCTACAACTGATCAACTTTGTGCCTCTGGAAACGATGACTTATATATTCTTGTCCTGCACAAAAGCCTCCTTTGGTACCAGAAGAGACTGAAGTATGCCTAATAATTGCTTTAGCTTGTTTTCTATTATTGTTCTGAATTCAGGAATGGCGATACATTACCTCTGTAGGATTGCATTTTTGGTAAAACTATCCAATGGCAGTTTATCCATGTTCTTCCTCCCCCCATCTTTATGTTACCAATTGCCACTGGGCGGTGATGGTGAGGCTGGCACATCACGTAGAAAGATGACAGCCTCCACCATGATGAATCAGGGTTGCGTTTACAGTGCAAAGGCACTGCCTGTGACCGCTATGGCTTCCGATGCAAGGTAAGTTTTGAATCGGTTTCTTTTTTCTGCTTGCAAATGGTCGTCAAAGTTTATTATTATCTCACCATCCCTCAACATTACTAATCTGTACTCTCTGTTTGAATATATCCAAATTACAAAGTCCAGTTTTCTCCACTGTTTCAATTCTCTCAACGCAATCCTGGCTTTTTTTGTTTCCTAAGTGGAATTTGCTTTTCTTGTCTACCTTTTCATATTAAACCCTTCACAAACGACTTTCACGGTAGTGCTTGGTAGACAGTCCAACGTCCGTAAAGTGTCTGCCTTGTTAAAATGTGACTGTTGAAATAGGCTACTCCATAGTAAGGGATATTTCGTTCCACTGGACCCTTAGCCATGGAGGCGTCTCTAGGCATGTGAATGGGTTAAACTGACACTAATGCGATGGATGTTGATGGTGTTGTGAGAGTGTAATAACACTACTTCAGGCGGCAAATTCAGGTGAAATATTCACTTCAGGGCCAATTTTCGTACACCTGTTAGCCAGTGATGTGGTTTTTTCGACCTTGCCTTTTATTATGAGGTCCAATCGAAGACGTAGTTACCTCAAGACAGTTATGTCCTGAAATGCTGGATGGGTTTATGAGTGAGGTCGCGGTAGTTTGTAAATTCGTATTCTTCCCTTTTTAGACTTACTAGGGCAGCCTGCAAATTGTGGAGTAGTTTAGCCGACTCCCTAAGACGCAATGAACAGTTAGCTCAGTTTGTGGCTTTGAATGATGCCCCCAATGAATTGAATCTTTTTCTGCTCAAAAGGACTCCCAAATTTCAACTCGTCTTAGAGATGACAGCATTCTCCGAGACCACCGTTCTTTCTCCCTACTCCGTGCGTTCTAAATGGCTCTATTTTTTTTACATCTCAACTGCCTGATTGTGTGGGAGTCGAGTTTAGAATTTGCTTTATTCACGTAATATAAATTTAGGCTGTAGGAGTGAATTGATTGGTTTTTCTTCCATTTTGAGTGATGCATAAGTTGTTACTGCGCTTTTGTTATGAAGTCAAAATATCTCACGTCACGAAAAGTCTAATGGTTTTGATTGTAGAGTGAAAAATGGGGGTAAAGTTATCATGGGTTGACCTATTTTCACGTTTTAGTCCCACCTTTCTTCTTCCTCGCGGTGTCTTTTGACTGGAGTTCTTTTGTATGAGGTAAGTAGGCCGGTGCTACTGACCTCTTTTAAGTAAGTGCCTTTTCAAGTGTTACTGATATTTCTATAATGACCGCTTGTAAGCCGCCCATTTCTTGGAGCCGTGTGGGCACAGAAATGCTCCCTGTATTGGTCCCTTCAGAGATTTCCTACATGAAGCCGTAAGTTTTTGCCGTGAGACGTTGGGTAGAAATTGGTAATGCATGGATCGCGACCTTCCTTTCCACCATCTTAATCATGGAACTGCAGATTTGGGCTGGGTTCTAAATAGTAGACCTGTGGTAGGATGGAAATTATGGAACCGCCTCAAACCAAGTGGGAATCGGTGGGAATTGGTTTAGTGACTCATCAAACGTGATAGAAGGTGCAGTTTTCCCGAAAGGGCTTAATCTGCCTTATCAGCTGTGACCTCTGGAATTTGTGCGGCTTCTTCGTTTGTTCCTCTTCCCCACTTTCTACTCAAATTGTTTCAATCAGCGTCCTCCCTAATCGTTCGTTGGCTTCGATCAGTTAAAATCCTTGGCAATAAATCAGGCAATAATCAACCAATAAGTACTGCCTTTCTTATCTCAAGTTCCCCTCGGGTTCCCTGATTGCGGAGCGAATCCTGGCCAGCAATCAAGACATTCAAAATGACAACGAAGATCGTCGACTTTCGACCGTCTTTGTAGTCTTGGTGGAGTCGGCTCACTGTCAGGACGCGGTGTGCTTGGTGTTCTGCAGTACTGACGCTGTCACACCTCTGACTCTCCTTATCAGCTCTGATCATCTTTACCCCTGGGTTACCCTTGCCTACGGTCACCATTGGTCCTATCGAGTTCGGGTCTCCATTTTTGGAGCTATTGTTGATCATGGTAGGTGTTTTGCTTGCCAATTTTTCTACCACCTTAAAGCTAAAATACTCATGTTCTTGGGTATTTGAGGCGCTGGGCTTACTGTTGAACTTGGCATCGAAACTCATATATTTCAAGCACCTTTGTTTTTGGGATAAACGCGGTAACGCATTCATCAATGAAATGTGGCGATTGATAATTATTTCGGTGGGTGATTTGGCTACTTAAATTATTTAAGTAAAGTATACTAAATCAGCATGCAGTTCAGCAACAGAGTTTGACTATCGATATAATGCCACCATGACCGCCGAACCAGGTTGGAGAAAGGGTGTTATTGTGCACAAACGGATTACAGTCCTTAACCTTTTGTTCGGTTGGTAAGCTAACTCTCTTGGTAATCTTTGCGGTGTGACAATGCATTGAGCTGCAAGTAATCCCCATGGACGTTCACATATGGTTGCATTCGCGACCCTAGAAATGTCATCTTAACTTTCGGCGTTGGTTGGTGCAGACAGTGAGGAACCTAAGTGTCTCTTAGTCTCTTATTAGAATGCTGTTTTGAAGGGAACAGTCGTGGGTTCTGTTTCACCAATGATTTTGTGCTAGGTATGGGACGAAGTGTTTGCCCTTCATCATCGCCAGTATTTATATGGCAACATTCACTGATATT